TTTGGTTCATAATTTCGAAGGTAAGTATTTCCGAAAAACGATACAGGGTTTCGGTATTATGAACCCTATCTCGTTTGTTTGTGTTTTGGGGGGATATGAACTTCGAATTAATGAACTTTCGGAACTATGAACCTTCGAAAAAAGGAACCCATACCTGACATATACCGTCAATGCAGATATCACGTGAGAAGCGAGTACAGGGAGTTCCATTGGTCACGTGAACTGACTTCTTCTTTATCAATGCTTGATCACGACGTCTGCAAAACAATTCACAAGGTTTATCTACAAAAAAATAGAACAAGAGAAATTGATTGTTTATCATTTATATTAGCCTATAAGAAAAGAGTGAAAAGACAAAGATATATACAGAAAGACACACTGTCAGAATAGGAAGAAAAGAGCGAAAGTAAAATTACATATTTTCATACATTCCGTGTAGAAGATACTTCTACTACATTTTAAGGAGGAATTCTCCACACTTTTTTCATGATTCAAGCCACTCGGTCACATCACCCCCCCCCCCCCCCTTAAAAAAATCAATATCTATAATTCCCAAGAAAAGTCCCCATGTTATTACACCTTTGTCTAACAATGGAAATGTAGATTAACCCTGGCCAAGGGACATTGTGCTGATGTTCAGGGGCCATTATGAGTGAAAGGAATTTGAGGTGAAATTTTTGCCATGAGCCACTCAGTTTTATAGCCAGTTGACTTGTGGTATTAGACACAGTTAGTAGGCCCCAAGCTTCTTTGAAGGAAGAGTGAATGGGCTGGTCACATCAAAATTTCCCAACCGAATTTTAGTCTCAAACCATCCCTGGGGGGGGGGGTAGGATTCGAACCCTCAACTTTGAAGTGAATGAACCACTACGCCACGCACCTTCGACATCGACTGGAATCCATGCGAGTTGAGTACCATTCGATTGGATTGTATCATAGGTGCTACACTGCATGGCACGAACACTCACAGATTCATGAACGCAATCCTAGAAAAAATAAAAGCAACAATGACTTATATTTCACGGAATCAAAGCCACATACATGTTTTACTTTGAAAGTCGAGATAAGGATGAAACAATTTGGTGTGTATTATATTTGTAATAATTATATAAAGAGGCGAGCGACAACTGGTGAAGGCACCGTTGTACCCGTACCGGCAAATCCATGATTTCGAAGAGTGTTTTTTATTTGTAAGTGACATTGAATACACAAAACATATGTATAATTACAACAAGAAATAGAAAACGAACATTAGCAACCAGGGGTCCTATTAATTGTTAATCCCCCTATACGAAATGTTCATGTCACAACTATGAGACATCTAAGAGGTGCTCCATCCCATTGGTTCTACCACTGATACATATCTAAACATTGCAACTATAACATAAATATTTTCCATCTGTATCATAATAGTGTAAGTCCAAGCTATAGTGTGTCCCGTACGTCACAGACCAGATGATATAAGATGTTAGAACATATGATCATTGTCGTAATAGCAATACTAGAGCTTTAATCAGACCAGATACATTTGAAGTCAGTATAATTATGTTCAGAACTTTATAGCACTTGGTGACGTACAGGGCAACAAATGATCAAAACCTTGGACTTGCCCTTCTCTGCACCGATTGATTACATTACTGCCTGAATGAATGAACGTCTTATCTAGGACCAAGGTACGTAAATCGATGTTTCTGAACCCTATATTTTGTCATGCTTCCATCTATAGTTGTTTTTCAAAATTAGTCGATTTAAGTTAATAGTATACGTACCTGAAGCTTACACATGGTATACTTCTTTCTCTCACCAACACAGTATCTTCCTCCATGAGATGGACTACAGGAGCAATGGTAAAAAAAAAAAAAGATTAATTTCTCTGAGTTGGTATTCGTAAAACTTTACCCGGAATGATTCGTCTGGGGACTCGCTGGCTGTCGCCGCAGTTGTGTTTAATAGTGAAGGAACACCGATCCGCAGGAATATGACATGGTCATTATCCCCTAGGCGCCCTGGACGAAGATTTCGTTCAAAACGCCCATTGGAGCTGTTTTTTAGTTTGCCGATCAGTTTCTCTACAGCACGAACATTACTGCACGAAGTATAGTAAGCCCATGTTACGATCTAAGCTACGACCACTGATCAGATTACGACCGTAACCCAGCGATATCTAAAATTGTGTAGCTGCATTATAATCTTCAGCAGGTTGCACATAGAAAGTTTGTACATCAATCATTGGAGCTCTGTCAAGAGCACATGAATTTTGACCACCTCTACTCCATCGTGATATTTCTTTCGAAGCTATAAACCGTAATACATGTACTTCAAAATCTTATAAGATAATGGAGATGGCAATCCGAAAAGTCAGAAAAGAATACCTTGGGTTGTTACAATGTCTCTCTTTAGACTTGACGGCCCGTCCACACGTCAGGGAACACTCAGAGTACTCGCTCCATGGACCCCATCCGCCATCGATGACCACGGGATGTTCATCGATATCGATACACTCTCCAGATATACACCACTGAACACAATCAAAGAAGAGATATCTTTAACAACAATCATACATAATGTCATTGGCCCTGACAGGATCTAGGCCATTGCATTAATGACTTTGAAGAAAGCAATTCAGTCATATTTTTTTATATAAATATTCGTTTATGTCTATATTTGTGAATGGAATGTTTTTAGGCCGTGAATAAAACAAGCCAGCCAAGCATGTGTAACTATGACGGAAGGTCGAGGTAGGGATTTCAGGATCAAATCGGTCGAGACTGTTTGTGAATGTGACATGTACTCGAGTGTTCAATAACGGATTTTTAAAATCATATTGTTCTTACACTCTTTATCAATTTTGGGGGACGACCCTATATCTACTGACCTCACCTTTGTTTTATAAATTTGCATTAGTTATTGCAAGATCTAGCATAGCATTATGGATCCAAAGTATATTACAATTAATGAAGCATTCATGCGGGAACGGACTGGAACTGAAATTCGGTTGGGGAATTCCGTTGTAACCAGGCCAACTCAACCTATAACCGGCCCTCAGAACACTTATCAACGGGGCCTCAAGCCGAATATCTGACAGCCCGTGGAGAAACTGTTCTAAGCTCCCCATGGCTTAGACATTTCTGGAGGCCCCTATTAAATGTCTAGCTAGGGGTTCTAGGGCACCTACCCCTGGACATCCATCCCCCCGGATAACCACCCCCAGTCAACTATCCCCTAGGACAACCACCCTCTAGATGAATACCCCCGACAACTACCCCCAGACAACTACCCCCTAGGACAATGCCCCAGGACAACTACCCCTACTTCCTCCGGACAACTTCCCTCTGGACAACTCCCCCTACGACAACTACCCCCTACGACAACCTTCCTTTGTGACTTCGGGCCTTATTGTGTGAGATTACACCACTAGATGTTTGAAGGTGACCCTTTATTTTTTTTAACGGTACTAACCTTGTCTTTCCCACACCGAGAGCCCTGTGCAGCTGCTGTCATGCGTGATCTCCTCATGACTCCTACGCTACACCACAGGGTAGTACAGAGATCAGACTGGACTCAGCGGAGTGGAGTGATGGAGTATAAGCAATTAGAGTTTATAGAAAGAGATGAAAATGAAAGTTGGAAAATAAAGAGGGAAAGTTAAAAGATAGATACAGATAGACAAAGAAAGGAATGAAGTGAAGAAGGAAAAGAAAGATTTCAAATAAAAGGAGAGACATGATTTAAAGTAGAAATAAACGCTTAAGATTGTTGGGGTATTACATCAATGGAAAATGCTGTAGTCATGCTCATGAACTCAATTTTAAACATTATCCAATACATTGGAATTTCTCGCTAAAATACTTGACAAAAAGCTAAAGATTTAATTTTTATAATCCCTGCCTAATTTTTTCAAATATTCCAAAACTGATCGACTTCTTGATTATTTGTCTGCCTCGCTCCTCTTATTTATCCATCACAGAGTGGTAGTTGAAATTTGTCCTTGTCTTTGTGATATTACACATGTAAGTGTAAGATAATCGCAAAGATTCTTACTTCAAACATGGGACTGGCAGTTGCATTCGGTCCGTACTGTAGACGACATTGGTGGTCTGCCGAGTACATGACACCCGGTAGAACCTTCGGATATTTGTAAGGTGTTGATGAAGGCATATCCTCCAGGCAGCTACCCCGTCCACTACTGCAGAAATCATAATTGTACGTGCAAATAATATTGAATTTTCACGACATGATTCAGAACAAATTCCAATCACTAATTAACAAAATCATCTTTTTGTAAGAAATGTGAGTAATTTGGTATTCTAAATGCCATAGCTTTGTTTTAAATATTGGGAATTTTTAGGTAAAGCAATCTCTAAATCGTATATTTATTCTTTTAAAGAAAAAAGGTTCTTCTGTCAAGCCGTTCATAGTCCGACTTTCCTTCCATCACACCGCTGTCGCCAATATACTCCAAATAGCAATGATCTACTCTTGCTGCTGGTAGATCATGTGGTGTGAGACCACTATAATTCATGAGGACATCATATTTGAACAGGCCTTATATTTCCATCGCTCCAACCATAATTATACTCTGCTGTACTCTCTGGTACGGTGAACCATGAAGTGGTGTAAGATTACCTCCAAGACATTAAGAATGATTATATCATATCATATCATATCATTTGATCAATCTTAAGTCCGAATGGCCTCAAATCCCACTGCTGCCACCATTATAATTTTATTCTTGCTGAAATTACTCACTGGTACAGTAAACCATGTAATTGGTGTTGGACCACTTGGAACCCGGAAGACGTCACAATAACGGACCGCTGTCCATAATTGATTTGATGTGATTCAAAATATAAAAACCAAAATGGCCCCATGATCCTACCGCTGCCGCCATATTTGTACTTACTCTAGGAAACGAGTGATGTATTCTCTGCTGCAGGAGGACCATGCTGTGGGTGTAAGACCACTAGGAACCCGTGAAGACATCACATATGGGCCACTCGGTCATCGTCAAACGAGCATGGGTTATCAATTCCGTCGTGCTGCATGCCAAAGCTATATGAGGGCAAACCATAACACGTTGTTGGGAAGTTTTTATTTTATTTTACCGTAACGACAAAATACTGATTACATAATCATCACAGTCGATAGCGTATACTTTTGTTAGAACCGTGATCTTAATCATTGAGGCATCTCCCTCAAAAACTAATTACCTGCAGACTGAAATTATGCAAAATATTAAGTTGAAATTAGGAATAGTTAACATGCCTACGTTTTTAATATTTGATGATATTGATATTTGATGATAGTGTAAGATGGTATTAACCCGAGGTGTATTTATGGAGTGCAGAGGCGGGGGAAGTGCCCAGGGTGGTACTTGAAAGGCGCACAAAATAGATAAAGAGAGACAGAGAAAGGGAAAGAAAACCATTAAATTTTAGGGTCTTTAAAGAATATATGCACCCCCAGTCAATGCCGAAATGCGTTATAATACTTTGTTAAAGTCTCATATGCCAACAATTCTGAAGTTTGGTCACGTTACTCTCTCGCATGGGTTTCTTCTTGATCTTGTTATTTGGTACTCCATAAATTGGGGTTTTAACGGTTCAAATTTCAAAACAAATAAATGACATAGCTTTGCTTCCCGACTGTTTCATATTTTGAATTGATAAATTTGAGCAGGGGGTCCAAATGTATTGTTTGCCCCGGAAGTAATTCGGCTAGATATGACACTGATTTACGCTTATTCTTACTTGTGTCCCATCTCATGCGCCACGGTGAACCCAACAGCAAGGCCGTTGTCTTCGTTGATGCTACAGCTTCGCTTCCTATTGCACATGCCAGACACGTGGGCCAACCCTAACGTGAAGCAGATATCAGAACCACGGCACAGGTCCTTCCTTCAAAAAAAATTCAATGATTATAAATGTATCATCATTGAGAAAGATGCTTAGAATTTCATGGATAGAAAGAGTATCTAATGGTATTTGCCATGGCAGGAACAAGACGAAAGCTTCTGAATAATATAAGAGGTCGACAGCTGAGCTTATTGGGTCATGTTATTCGAAAGAATGGTTCGGAAAATCTTGCACTGACTGGAAGAATAAAGGGGAGGAGGAGTAGGGGTAGAAGGAGGATTCTCAGGAGGAGTAGCTTAAAGAGTGGGATTTCTGAAAGTGGAATTGATCTCGGGGAGAATGATTATTTCATAGAATATGAGACAGAGAGTTATGGCATTCCATGGTCGACAACGTCTCAGGACATGGCACGCAAAGAAGAAGAACCTTATATCTAAATTTCATTTAAATAAAATCATTATTCGAAAATGAATAAAACTTTGAAGCTGTGTGTAGTCTCTAGTTAGGCCTACTTGAAACTATTTGGACAACAGTTGAATTTTGTTATGTTTGAATCACGATCAGAAGGGGGTAAATAGAAAGAAAGAGAAACGGTGAATGCAGGGGGAAAAAGAATGAGGCAGTAAAGTGTTAAGTGTCAGAAACATAAAGAGAATCACTAAAGAGAATCAAAAAATGTATATATTATAGAGGGAGTGAAAGAGAGCCTGAATGGTAGTTAGCTCACCTGGTAAGAAGTATTGCGTTGTCATGGTGATTGTGTTGCTCATCCCCTTCCGGGTTCAATGTGTCTTGCCATGCACAGAAGCTATTCAATGTGTCGTCTGCGTTGTTAGAGATCTCTAGGTCGTCCTATAATAAAAAAGTGTATATGATATTAATGTCTAAACTCAGAACTGACTGCTGAGTAGAAGTTGAAATAGACATTTACAATAAACATGATAAATATAATACATGGATTACAAACAAATTAAACTTAACACAGCAAATGATAAATAGTTCCTCATGTACACAAAGGAACATCCCTTCACTGCTATTATGTAAAAATGAGTAAAACAGGTGAATATGCATGTGACACCTGTTCTACACATTTTTACATAATAGCAGTGAAGGGATGTTCCTTTATCTACCTGAGGAACTGTATATTTTGTCCGCTTTCTTTGTCCGTCATGATCATAGTGAAGGATACGAAGAAGGATGTGAATGCATTGAGTGGTAATATTGCAAACCAAACTTGCTATCAAATTGGAATGGAACCCCCCCCCCCCCCCTCTCTCTCTCTCTCTCTCTCTCTCTCTCTTAAAAAGAATAAATTCCAGCCATGATTCACCTGTTGGTCTTCTAAGAGGATCAGGCGCACGAGGGCGATGTTCACCAAGTTCCCAATGCTCGGATCACGATAAAACTTAGCCACCTGGGTACGCAACAAAACAAAACAAAAACATTTAGCGATTGATTTTTATTTCACATATTTTTCTTAAGTTAGACTTAATATCAGTACAAGATGAAAAGAAGGCAGGACGATTTATGATAATGTATATATTACCATCGCCCATCGGCCTATCTTTTTATCTTATTTTGTTTTAAATACAAAAGAGTAATGCGCATCGGATTTTGTTTTACATGTATCTTTCAAGGTATTTTCACCACCCCCCCCCCCCCCCCCCATTTAATGTTTGCTCGGATCTTACATATTGTTTATGTCATCACTTCCATGCCTAATTCACAAACTTGAACGATGAACAGCCGTATTATCTCTGGAAGAATTATTTTGTCGCGATACAGTTTATTTACAAATTGTTACCATTTTATGCTTCAATAGATAGCAATGTAAACAAAACTCATTGAATCAAATTGAATGATAGCTACCAGATTCATGATGGTGAGCACATAGGTCTCGATGTCCTCGTCCTTGTGGTATTCAATCATGGACTGGTCGACGACCACTAAGGTTTCCACAGTTCGCTCCATGCTAACTGACTTTCGTACCCGACGTCCAGCTCTCTTCGAAGCAGGGTCGTCATGGTGCCATGTACCTGTAGAATAAAATAGGGATATATGTCATTTGACGGGTATATTGGATGCGGTTAAATTGAATTTATTCACCACCATTGAAAACATCGAAAAAAGAAAAATAAATGTCAATATAACATAAATATAAACATGACATGAATTAAAATACATGTTTTCTGCAGCGATATACATTATAAAAAATTATTAAAATAGTTATACAAAAATTTAGTGTCAAGAGTAAAACAATAAATGACTATTGTTTGTGATCGATGGTAAAGTAGAGTAAAATAGCACATATGCTAGTCGAGCCTGACTCTCGTTATCTAAAGCCTAAAATAAAGTTAAAGAAAAATACACGATGGGTTTCCGAAGTTCGAGGCGTTTAACCATTATAACTTGCCACGTACATTATACACTCGCGTAACGTGAATTGTCACGAAATTGCAGCTTCGCAATCGTAATTCCTGAGTCACACCAATTTCAAAGTCCTTATTTATCTTTTAGTTTGGGATCCAATCTTCTTCTTCAGCTTCTTCTTCTCCTCTTCTTCTTCTTTTTTTCCCTTCTTTTTCTTATTCTCCTTTTCTTCTTATACTTTGGGATCGAATCTTCTTCTTCTTCAGCTTCTTCTTCTTCTCCTCCTCTTCTTCTTCTTCTTCTTCTTCTTCTTCTTCTCCTTCTCCTCCTCCTTCTTCTTCTCCTCCTCCTTCTTCTTCTCCTCCTCCTTATTTTCCCTCTCTTCTCCTCCTTCCTCTCCCTCGTCCTTCTACTCCTCTGTTAGGTGTAGGAGATCAACAGCAGCAAAATGCCTCGGGTTATTTTTTTTCTTTCTAAGTTCATGACTGAATTACAGTCACACATAAATGAACCTATTTAGCCTTCTGATTTTTTAAGTCCAAGTAATTTAGCAAGACAAAAAAAAATCATTTTAAACTAGTGCAGCAGTGTATTCACAGGTCCAAATATTTTTGGTCTAAAGAGTGGCATTGTACATGCATATTCGAAAAGTATTCTACCCGGGGTCTCTGACTACTAGACTAGTGCATCAAAACATTCGTGACCTTAGGAGGACAAGGACGGCATGTCATAATTGACAGGTGTAAGGGGTCATACAAGGTCACACGCGACAAGCAGGTCGCTAATAGATGACCTTCTCATTACGTAATCGTGGAATGTCCACACGCCGCCCTAATGAGGTCAAACCAAGGGAAATGTGTGATCCAAAGACGTAGAGACGCTTTCGCCAAAGAGATACCAGCTACCCTCCTTGCTTTCGCGAAGGTGGGCATACATCGCCCAAATATCGCCAAGTTTAACCAGGGAGGTGAGACTTTAAAGTCTCACCTCCCTGGTTTAACTATTGTGATATTAAAGTTTGGTTTGTCATAACTATTCAGTTGCGTAAGTTTATATCTTGTAATAATCCACATGCATCGAAAATGTGCATTTTCATATGATGTCTTAGTTGTTTACAAATGCTTTTATTGGCATCTTGATATTATCGATATGTTATAAGAAGATGTATATTATATGTAATTTTCCCATAATTCGTAAAGTGTCGATAGAGATAAAATATCCTATTTTAAGTTTCATCTGTTTAAAAGGTATAATGTCGATTGATGTGTAATGGTCAATATACAATCATAAGTTGTGTCTAGAAATGAATGGTTGATCTTCATATGATAAACTTTTTGAACCATCGAAATTGCAATGTATCAAATAGACTCAATATGGTGCCTAAAATTGCACTTTTTGGCACCATCCTGACACCATCCATTCAATGAAGTAAATCCAATCATCAATATTACCGAGGTGCTAAATGGGTATCCGTTGGGATACGATGGTCGATTGATTAAATTAGTATTTTCGCCGCGGCACTAAAAAGGAATGCTTCCCAGGGAGTGGAGAATGCGCGGAATAGAATTTGGTGTCCAGGGTAATAATAATACTGTAAGCCCATTGGTCGGTTGTAACAGAGTGCTTCATAAGAAACAGTGATTATTATTACTAATGTAATCATTGGTCTTATTATAATCATTGTTACTATCATTATCTGTGTCCTTATCATTAGTATCATTATTATTATTGTCATTATTATTTTTCAACTTACCGGTGTCTGAACAGAAGGCATCATTAGGAGTCGAATTCGTTTTTCCTCGATTCAATAAAGGTTTGTAGATGATATGCGAACCGTCGTTACTCTCCTTATCATATGTCGATGCATTGACGGGTTCGATAAAGAAATCCTCCTCCTCTCCAAGTGAAATGAGGCCCCTCTAATGATATAGTCAAAATATAAGTCGGATAAACCAACACGATGATGGCATATCGTTAATAGTAATTACAATCATTATTTTTAACAAGGAAGTATATATTGAACGTAAACATAGAATGATAACGTTAATGACAGCAATATTCACAATGATACCCTTGGCGAGGAGAGTAATTTCACATTGTTCGACATTTTAAGGGAACATCGCAAAATAAATTCCTCTACATTTTTCGGTAACATGAAAATCTTCTTTCCACCCTACCTTTCTCAACGTCATTAATGCCATCATATGAACGCCTGAGAGATTCGGTACTAGGTAAATAACAAACTAAATGGACTGTAATGGACTGTTAAGAACAATACATACAACTTATACATGAACAGTCTTCCCAATATTTCTCCTAAAATTAGTAGTATGACGATATTTCAACAAAGGCTCACCAATCCACGACACACGTTGACAGCGACCTGGGAATTTGCGTGGCCACGAACCACTCCATGATAAGAGCAATGACGATGACGTTCATACGCTGGTTGAAAACGTGTTCGAGACACATTCGACGACGATCGTCTCTCCAGGACGAAGCCAGGCGAGATCAAACCTTCGTTCAACGTCAGTATCAAATGGAAATCCTTCTCCTTCGTGGCAAACATGTACTGCAGGTTTTTGTGATGCTGCGACATCGAGGGAGACGTTGACCGACGATGACGACTGTCGAAACCATCCTGGATTACACGCGGATGCACGATCTCGATATAAGACGAACGTTTGTCTAAAACCAACGGATTCATGTTTGAATATATTAAATAGGTCATAAAGATAATGTTATGACAGACACATGCACACAGTCTAATGTGAGTGTAATAAGAAAAACCGGGAAAAGAGCGAGAGAAGAAAATAGGGATGGGGAGAGGGCTATAAGAGAGAGAGAGGGGGAGAGAGACAGAGAGAGAGAGAGACAGAGAGAAAGACAGACAGAGACAGAGGCAGAGAGACGGAGACAGAGAGACAGAGAGAAGTTGAAAGAATTTTAAAAAGGGAGAGAGAAAACACAAGAGTGATAAAGGGAATGAGAGAGGGGAGGGGATAGAGAGATGGAGAGATGGAGAGAAAGAGAGGGAGAGAGAGGGGGGGTTAGAGATAGAAGGTGAGAGAGAGAGGGGTTAGATACTGAGGGTGAGAGAGAGAGAGAGAGAGAGAGAGAGAAAAAAAAAATCATGGGAAAGAGAGAAAAAGGAGCGTGTTGGAATGGGTCTGCTATTTTACAGGTTCACAATCGACTAAAATAGAAAGGTTTATTTTTATAGATAAAATCAGTATAGAATATGTGGTGGTTATGTGGTGGTTATTTTACCTGACTGCTAAGAAAGCATGAATGCTTGTTAGTAAGCAACCAGACGGCCGACGGCTTTAGGTCCTCTCCGAGGGACCTGGTAATGAGGATTAATGCCTTACCAAAGGGCACTAGCGCATCGACTTGGTTTCGAACCCGGGTCACCGGATTACGAGACCACTGCTCAACCGACTGAGCTATCGCTCATTCATCTATATGAATATGAAAGTTATGGATGCAAATGGATCCAAATCTTACCACAAGGACACGATCTTGTTATTTTGATGTAGTCGAAAAACGACATTTTCAAACGGAAAGAAATACAAGAAAAAGCGGAAACAAATCATCAAGAAACTAGGCAGACGAGAAAGTCACAAAACAAAAAAACTTTAGCAAGTTTATTTTGTATTTGACAAAACACCAGGATTTCTACTCGAAGAACATTAGCAATGGCAATTTGCCAAAATATTCCGTTACGTCACGCAAAAGTTCCTAACAAATAGAGTTTGATACATTCTTCTACTTCTTTTTTTTTGTGTTTATTTTTTCTTAATTGAAAGTACAACTCAACAACATAACATATTTACAACAATATCATATTAAAGGAAATGAATGTTTACAGAACACTTTTTCTTTTTTGTGTTTAAAAACTGTTAATCCCATCTGGAAATGTGATATTAAAAAAAATTCAAATGTTTGACAAGTAATATTCCGTACACTGAATCGAACAAATGTAAAAACAATTGGAAAACAACAGAAAACTACAAAAAACCTAAAGTTGAAATTTTGCAGAAGTGGTTTGTTTTTGTGGAATACAACTTTTTTTAACGTTCTTACCGTATTGTTGATATTCAGTCAGAGCGTGAGAAAACTGGACGTAGAACAAAATGAGAAGGAATTTCAGCATCAACATCGCCCGGCATCGGTGAGTAGGAGAGGGTTGTATCTGGGTTGAAGTGTGAGACGATCCCATGCTGAGAAAGAGGTAGGATGATATGGCACCCCGCATCCCGAGAAATATCATCCGATGAGTTCAAGTCTGCCTGTTATTATCTATTACAACACCGTAAATGTGATCTTCGCGAAGTGAAGTAGTCGCAACGAACTCGTCTTGCTTCGGCGGCGGTGCGTCCGTTCGTCCGTGGTCGACTCATCGGGTCACGCGTGTCAACTCGGTTGTTTATTGAAATATGTGACACTTCAGATGACAAGATCCAGAAATCAACAGCTCGACCATGGTCATGATGAAAGAGATGGATTATTCCCACAACCTTCTAAGGATAATCCAACTGTCTCTTCGTCCTCCTCCTCTTCCGTCCGGCTTCTTGAACGTTTGCCAGAGATCGTCCTGTCTCTCCGACGTCGTCATCAACAGGGGTTTCGGAAAATGCCGGAAGCGGAATCACTTAAAGGTTCAGAATGTCATGAGAAAGAGAAACGTGTTGGTCCCAAACCTGCAAACATACTGCATGCCAGGACAGACATGAGTATGATTCAATCAAAAGGGGCTTAGGAAGTCATGATGATAATATAATGCCAACAGTAAGGCCACAAGTGTCATTAGCGTAGCCAGGTTCCCAATGTAAGGGGGCAGCCTTAAATTTGCTGTCAATTTGAATACACGGGGTCTTCACATGCTAACATTTTCCGACAGAAAGTATCAGAGAAGTTGCCACTGCCACTATCTAAGGCATGATGCCTAATTAATAAAATAGCCCAAAGTTATCCATTATTTCGATGATAAACACAATAGTCGACGATTAATATGGAATAATGCATAGCTGTCACATAGTTGGTGGATTTTTAAGAGGGCGCTTTGACCCCCACCCTCTGGCTGGCTACGCCCTGGCAAAAACAAGAGGAGAAATCATTCATCACTCCACTTGACGCGGGGGTGATAAACCACGCATTCTCCGCCCGAAATAAATTGATGCGCATGTTTTCCAAGGGCACACTGACAGTTCCAAAATGAGCGGAGGTCGAAGTGCCTGTCTCTCATGGGGGAGAGAGAGAGAAAACAAGACAAAATAGTTCCATCGACAACCTCTGACTTTTTTGTTATAAACTACCTGGTGTTTACTGGTGACGTTGCTTCGTTGGAATTCGGGAGAAATTTATGAACGTACTACTTGAATCAAGTTCCCAGACGAGTCTTGCCCAGTAACTTTTGAATATGGGTATTGCTTGCAATGGGGGAACTTATTTTGATTTGACTTAATTTCTACAAATCAAATAATATTTTGTCTCCACTCATGTACATTTTGAGTGGTAGTAGTATTTTAGTAGTAGTAGTAGTGATGGTGGTGGAGGTGGTAGTTATTAGTGGTGGTGGTGATGGTGGTTGGTGGTGGTGGTGTTAATAGTGGTAGTGGTAATAGAGGTAGTGATGGTGGTGATGGTAGTAGTGATGGTGGTTTACTTTTGAATCAGTTTTCCAAAAATAAAATTATGTTCTGTCCCTCATTCACCTTTGGAGTGGTAGTAGTAGTACTGGTGGTGATGGTGGTGGTTATGGTGGTGATGGTGATGGTGGTGATGGTGGTGGTGATGATGATGATGGTGGAGGTGGTGGTGGTGGTGATGATGATGGTGATTGTGGTGGTGATGGTGGTGGTGATGGTGGTGGTGGTGGTGGTGATGGTGGTGGTGATGGTGATGGTGGTGGTGATGGTGATGGTGATGGTGGTGATGGTGGTGGTGATGATGATGATGGTTGGTGGTGGTGGTGCTGATGATGATGGTGATTGTGGTGGTGATGGTGGTGGTGATGGTGGTGGTGGTGGTGGTGGTGATGGTGGTGGTGGTGATGGTGATGGTGGTGGTGGTGGTGGTGGTGGTGGTGGTGATGGTGGTGGTATTGGGGTGATGGTGGTAGTGGTGGTGGTGGTGTGATTATGATGGTGGTCGTGGTGATGGTGGAGATGGGGGTAGTCGATGGTGGTTATGGAGAACTTTATAAAGCCTGAAGTGACCCTATCCCTTTGTTCAACAGTGTGAAAATTTGCTATATAATTATCAATGATTTACAGAAGGATACCATACAACGATATATTTTGGACATCAGTTGAAAACAGCTTCAAATTAATCAACAAATTAATGCAATTATATTTATGTAAGGAGTATGGTCATTCTACCGATATACCAGGAAAGGAGGATGCTTTACTTTGTAATTCTCAAGCACCCCTCTTTCTCTTTAAAGATATCATGATGTTGGCCTCAATCTCTGGCTCTCGAATTCCAACGAGTGCCGTCTTCAAACTGCCAGACACACAACAAAAGGTTACTGCGTAATAAATGGCAGTTATTGACAGAATAGATAACCGCATGTGCCCTTTACACACCCCCATTAAACTCTGTCACATCACGATAAAGCATTTCTTTCCGGTATGACCGACTAGGGACAAAACAGTCGGAAGATGAGATAACGAGAATTTCATTTCCGAACAGCTATCCAAGAATAATTTTGCAATGATATCCTCTAAAAGTGCGTTGCGAATACTTTTAAGAATGCAAAGTGTTTTTTAATTTTGTTTAAGTGGGGGATGGGGGTGGGCGGAGTCGACTTTCCCTAAACCATGTTAACCCATTGACTCTATAACTACCCTCCCCCCCCCCTCTCTCTCTCTCTCTCTCTCTCTCTCTCTCTCCCACCCCCTCTCCCCCTCTATTCTCCCATCCTCTCCCTATCCCTATCATATCCTCCTTTTGTGTCTCCAGTTGATCAGGGCATATACCCCCCCCCCCCCCTCCCCCTCATTTAGCACCCGTCTCTCCTTTGCCATTCTCTGTTCGAAGCCTTTATATTATTTTTTGTTTCTTCTTTCTCAATTGTTGGTCGTATGCTGTCATCCTGCTATTCTGAATAGCGATATTTGTTCCATATCTAACACAAAAATGTACCTGGCCTACTTTTTTTTTCCGGTGGAAAGTGCTTGTTGAAAATGTAGGTTATCTGCCCTAAATTTACTTAATGCGTCCGTTAGTAATGCACATAAAAACAAAGAAATTTCTAAGAAATGATAGAACAACTTTATTTTTGTTTTTCTCCTTCTACTCCTCCTTCTCTTCCTTCTTTTTCTCTTTCTCCTTCTCCTTCTCCTTCTCCTTCTCCTTCTTCTTCTACTTCTTCTAATTCTTTTTACTTACGTATTATAGTAAACGCACTTCATTTTCTTTTAGGAACACTTTGCAGATACTTTTGGCGGTATTTTCCTTTTTTCAAAGCGAGCGGACGGTATGAAGCTTACATGTTCCTGGGAGGACTGATAGTGCATAGCGCCATCTATTCACAGAACATCGAGTGCGTGTATGTACCTGCAAAAACACTATGTCTATGTTTCACAACTAGCG